GTTACTCTTCGCCTTTTGTTTACGTGATTCGTAACCTAGATACGAAGAATAAAAAAAAAAAAAAAAAATCATTATCTTAAGAAATTATTCTTCAATTTTACAAAGAATTAAAAGAAATTATTTTAAAAAATATTTTCCTTATTATTATTATTATTATTATTATTAAAAAATTAAAACTAAAAATAATATCCGCCATCTATCGTTAACGAAAAGTACTAAATTTTCAATTCGCTCCAATGAATTATTAAAATTTTCTTGTTTAATTCGGCGTTGTTAAACGAATAAAACGATTGAAAAAAAGAAAAAAAAAAGTAATTAAACCGACAAGGAATAAGTTTGTACAGCGTTAATGACAATTATCATACGTAATCTTTTGAAATCTGATGATAAATCGGGAGAACTAACTAATGCGAGCTAAATATAGAGAAGGGGAGAAGTTAATTCGACCCCCTAACTATAGGTTGCATGACTAATATATATTGAAAAGTGCCAAGAATAATTTTGTTTATATAACTGACGAACTATTATCGTCTTTCACGGTATCAATTGATGGTTTACGATCAACATCATACGCATGATTGTATGCTGTATTATAATTATCAACAGCATCATCTACATGACTATATGTAGATCATATTCATCGGAAGTGTCGTGTTCACATTAAACAATCGCCATATTCTACGTAGAAACAATATAGTTTCCAGATAAAATTTTCAAAAATTTAATACTTAATTTAACTTTTTTAATCGCGCAAAATTAAACAAAGAAATCCGAGATTTGAAATGAAAAAAAAAAATCTAAAGTTGGTAAAATTTTTAAGAGTAAAAAAATTGTTTCTTTCTCACAATAAAAAAAATTAAATAATAATAAATTTTCTTTTATATTAAAAATTTTACTTATTGTATACAAAAATCTGTTAAATCACTTGTAGAATTTTTCAATTTTTTAACTATTTTTTTATTATTATTTTATTTTAACGTTTTACTTATTCAATTTTTATATAAATATATATTATTTCATTTTAAAAAAAGAGAAAGAAATATATATATATAAAAGTGAGAATTTTTCGCATTTTCCGTTCTTCAGCTGGAATAATGAATAATGACTTTTGATATATTCTAACGGTCAAACATTTTATAAAAATGGGGGGGAAAAAAAAGAGAAAAATCAAAATGAAAAAATGAAAGTTAAACATTTATTACCGAAAAAGTCTGGATTTTATAATAGGAAAAAGAAGAAAAAAAAAGCCAGTATTATATTATTTTCATTTATATGTAAAAATCGACCGAGAGCATTTTAACTCTAAACAAAAATGGTAAAAAAAAAAAGAAAAAAGGTACATGTTATGATTGTAAATAGTACAAGATATTATTCAGTTTTAAAACGACTATTTGTGGATTTTATTTAAATTTTACATGAAACTTTCTTTAAGAATAATCGGAAGATTATTCGAAGCGCGGACAAAAGAAGGAAACGGGAGGAGGAAGTTTGCATTTTAATATCAGCTTCTTCATATTCTTGGCTATATGCCAATCTTTATGTTAGTTTCCAGCACTCTTTTACTAGCCTCTACCCCATTGATATTTCTTCCATCATCAAGAAAAAAAAATGATAATAAATAAATAAATAAATAAATAAATAAATAATATATATATATATCTGACGTTTATCAGCAACATCCAGATTTTAATTCCTGCAAATCTTTTAACATATTTTTCATTTCTCTTTATTGTCATCAAATGAAAAATCATCGTAGCATAATGCGAGATATTAAAATATTTTCCACTGTTGTAAACTCGTTGTTAATACTCCAACTACATTTACTACTTTCCCTTTAATTTCTCGATTCCGTTAAAATCTTCTGCCGTCTCTCCCTTAGGGTTTTTAAAAGAGAGTCAACCCCCTCTCTTTTCGTATTCTTGCCTGTAGCCAGAGACGTCTTTTACTACGTCACGTGAACGGATTCGACCCCCGTCACGTGACCGAAACGTTAACCAATCGGACGATCGCACCCCAACGAATAATGGCGAACCTGTACGAAGTGGTGTCGGTGAGCGTCGTTTTCTCTCTAGTGTGATGTTTCGGGTGTGAATGTGTGGGATATACACACCTTCGACCGGTAGTTACGACCTGTACTGGTGCTAAACACTTTTTTTTGGATTGTGTTGATTGATGTAACTGTGAAGCACCTTTACGTTTTTAAAACGACTTCTTTCTTATGCGGACGTGCGGATCGAAGGAATGACCTGAAATGTCTTTAGAAGTGAGTATGTTCGACTCGTACAACCTCTACTACGGCATTAAAAACTTTAGCATCGATTACGCGCCGCTCATCTCTACGTTTTATGTCTATTACATCCATGTGTTTGTTTCGTTGTCAATTTCATCGGTTAACGGCGCCGTTGCTAATTCCTAGATTTTAATTAATTAAAACCCTTTATACACATAAATTCTGCCTTGTTACTACTGCTAATCAGTCCCCTGTATGCGGACTTCACTGCTAAAGCAACCGTTATAAGTTCATATATANAATGTTACATATAATTTTATAATATAATTATAATATACTAAAGAATGTATAATTTGTTTGAAATATTTTTTTTTGCTTTAAACCAGTAACATTATTGGATCTTTCTTCATTTTACTTGCTTCACTATTCATTAAGGAATAAAATTCTTAAATTCTCCTCATTTATATTTAGTTCCCTAAACAATTCATGTTCATTAACTAAGTATTCAGTAGGTTTAGCTGTAGATTTTATACTTAAACACTAAGTGTATACAAAATCAATTTTATATAATTCCTGTAGAACAGACTACACTCACACATGATTAAAATAGGTTATGTAGCTTAAAATAGTAGATTCTACTTGTAAGTCTAGACAGAAATTTTGTTAATTTTAGATGAAATTGTAAAATAAAAATTGTATATATTTTTCTCTTCTATTATACATATGTTTTTTTTTTGTAAAAATATAAAAAGTAGTTGAAAAAATTTTTACAGAATGATGAATTGAATGACAAAGTACAATAATTTTATCTTATTCTTATTAAATATATAAATCTATTACCAACAGCATTGTTCATCAGTAACAGATCTATTTTGTTACATGAAACTTACCAATTTGATCTAGGGAAATATAAATCCCAAACTAATAACCTTTGTAATCTAAATATGCTTTTTTTCCCTTAAAAATCAATAGTTTTAAATTATAAACTGTGCAAGTTAACATCTATAAACCATCATTTTTAAAAATATAAATTATCAACAAAACCTGTACATTTAATGCTCTCTTGATGATTTATATTTTATAATTTTGTTTCTTACATTAGTAACTTTTCATTTTTGTCTGTCTATACTTTAAATCTAAAATATTTATAAGCTTATACAAATTTAATACAAGTTATCTCTTGCTATACTGTTATTATAAAGGTTATCTTCTAACTTTAATTATTTATTTTCCTTGTGACAGTTTGCATTTTTGTTCTGATATTATTTTAAATAATTGGAAAATTATGATTGATACTAGATACTTTTTTATTGAAATATATGTAAGTGTAAATATATTTATGTAGGTCCATAAATGACAATTTCCAAATTTACATCTAGTTTCAGATAAATTATTTCTAGCAGCTAAAGTTACTATTTTTGTTATTTAATTTAAAATTTTTGTTAGGGTGTAAGTGCAAAATATATTATATATAATCCCAATAATAATCGATAGTTTTATAGAATTGTCACTAAACCTGAATTTCATTTTAATTTTAAACTTGTGTCTTAAGTTTACCTTTAGACCTCAGGGGAGCTATTGGTTTCTTCTTTCAGTGTTTTCTTAGAAAACTATGTCTATAAATTCTATTTGAGAGTTAAGATTCCTAATAAATGGACTAACGGTCATATATATCGAATATAAACTTAAAAGATGTATCCTTGTGCATACATTCATTAAAAGATAAACAGTCTTTAAATTTATAATATAGAAGGAAAGGGAGATATCTGATTGATCTATATTTAAAGCAAATGTAGTCTCCTATAAGTTTGTCCATTTTCATATATTATCTTAAAGGTGTAATTTTGAACGTGTCTGGTAGAATAAGTTTATTATCCGACATCAAGGTAGATTGCGTTCCATTTAATTGTGCTCGTCTTATGGGTCTTGATGGTTCTTTACATCACAGGGGCACTACACTTGATCTATACTGTAATTTGGCTGCAATTCAAGTTGGACCAGACTTACCTAGCTAGTTTCCTTAGAAAATAATCAAACAGTTTATATTTAAAAAGTAACCTAGACAAACTTAGGTGGTTACTGCTTTTCAATGACACTTTCATGTTAACTAAGAAGAAAAGGTAATTAATCACATCTTTTTGGAACCATTGAGAAGGAAGATTGTGCCAAATTTGTCATTGTTAGTCATTTCACAAAATTACTTAGGCAAATTTAAATATATTCAATATACTAAAGGAAGGTCGGATTTGAAAAATTTAAAATTTTGAAAATTATAATAATACTGTAATTAGAAATTTAAATTTTAAATAATAGCTTCTGGTAATATATTTGTAATTATTTATGAATAGTTATTTTTATAATTAAAAATATTTTGTGTTAAATAATTTAATGTGTTTATTTTAAAAGAAATGTTAATAGTCTATTTATGTATCTATATATTATATTAGATTTATATTTATTTAATTAATTTATTTATTAGTACAAGGTTTTTTACCCTTTGTACAGGGAACAAGACAAAAAATAGACAAGTTAAACACAACACAAGTAAAAACAGACAAGTTAAATAAAACAAACACCAATTCACTAAATATAATTAATAGCTGATGTACAATATCCAAATTCATACAATAATCAATACATAAAATACAATATCCAATTTCATAAACACAATATTTAGTGCAAAATACAATTTTCACCACCTAAATATCATATCCAATACAGAAATACAATTATATGTATAATAAGTCTTGTATATAGATATATAAATAATAATGTAACATATTACAATAAATGTATATTTTATATTTTTTTATTTTATTAATTAATATGCAATGTTTATGTATTTATCATATAAACATTACATATAATTTTATAATATAATTATAATATACTAAAGAATGTATAATTTGTTTGAAATATTTTTTTTTGCTTTAAACCAGTAACATTATTGGATCTTTCTTCATTTTACTTGCTTCACTATTCATTAAGGAATAAAATTCTTAAATTCTCCTCATTTATATTTAGTTCCCTAAACAATTCATGTTCATTAACTAAGTATTCAGTAGGTTTAGCTGTAGATTTTATACTTAAACACTAAGTGTATACAAAATCAATTTTATATAATTCCTGTAGAACAGACTACACTCACACATGATTAAAATAGGTTATGTAGCTTAAAATAGTAGATTCTACTTGTAAGTCTAGACAGAAATTTTGTTAATTTTAGATGAAATTGTAAAATAAAAATTGTATATATTTTTCTCTTCTATTATACATATGTTTTTTTTTTGTAAAAATATAAAAAGTAGTTGAAAAAATTTTTACAGAATGATGAATTGAATGACAAAGTACAATAATTTTATCTTATTCTTATGAATAGCAACGTTTAAAGTGCGCAGCTATTATTATCTATTCAAAATATCTCTTTGATATGCTATGCTAATGCAATAATAATCTAGAATTCATATTTAATGATAAAGTACATATAATAGTTTTCTATCCTGGATATTTTTTTCTTTAAAACGTTCAATTCTTAGATCATTTTTATACGTAGCTATCAAAGACAAACAATAGCTTATTGTTATTTGATTTTGACCTTGAATAGAATTATTGTCCTTCATATTTAATGTTATTTCAAGCATAGTTCTTTTTTGTTTACATTAGTTTGTTTATTTTGATATCTTTGCATAAAATGTAATCATGGGAATCATTGTTTACCATTGAAATACTGTAACAAGAAAATACAAATATACATACAGATTTCACACCATACATATAGAACAGAAAAATCTCATCAATTTTGAATTGAATGCAATCCTTATACAAGTTTTCTTTGTGCTTTATATTACTATTGAGAAATAAAATTCAGAATTGAAAAATATTTTTCTATACTTGTCTGATTTTTTGCAGACGAAAAGTTTAGTCTTTAAAATCAGCATCATTTAATAGAATTGAATTTGTCTTTAGAAAGAATAATAATCTTGTTTGCTACTGAAATTCTATTGAGTGGCAGGAGATTAAAATTTCAAAACTGACATTAGTGTATATTGCCAGAAATATCACTAAGGGAGCTGGATTAAAGATTTCTGGAAATTGACAGTTATGTGTATTTGAAATGCAATAAAGGCAACGGCGCATTTCAATCCCTCAAAACCGACATTTTGTTTTCTTTCGAGAAGATTAATGGCACCAAAAATAGTTGGAACCGAAACCTATCTTAATTCATTTCAGTATAAAGGGAATAATCCTTCTAAAATCCATCTACACTTAATTTTGATATTCCAATCTTAAATGCGACCTAATTTTAACTGAAAAGCAATATCCTATGCCTAGTGGCAGTATATTTAGTTAATTTGTTATATATCGTAATTAAATTTCAAATTTTGGTAATAATTAAATTTTGAAAGTTTAATTAGAAATTTAGAAACTTATTAAATAATAAATTTTGCTATGGTTGTAACGGGTTTAAAATTTCATATAGTGACATTTACGGTTATACAAATTATTTCCCATTTGATGAGCAGTTAATGCAGTTATTTTCTTTGGATTAGCTTTATTAGATATTCTTGTTTGTACATAATTTATTTTGGTTGATTATCCTCCATTACAAGTCATGCATTGATGAGAAAATTTTTTTTTTTTTCTTTTCCTCCTTTTGCCAGAATTGTTACTGCTTCATCCTGATGAGTCTTTTGAGTTTAATGATTAATGATTGGTTTAATTCCAATGCCATTCCTTCCTTTAAGTTTCTACAGTGAGGTTATTATTCTCTTACTTTTTTTATTTTGGTTGATATAAAGGATTAAGTAGGAGCAAATTGAATCTTTTGTTATTTTAGTATCTGCAAATTTAATTTTTTTTTTATTTTTAAATAAAAAGGTCATTGGTATTTTATTAAATTNAAAAAAAAAAAAAAAAAAAAAAAAAAAAAAAAAAAAAAAAAAAAAAAAAAAAAAAAAAAAAAAAAAAAAATACAAGATAATAAGTATTGAATATTTTAAGAATTAATTTATTTGTGTTGAAATATTTAAAAT